TATTGTATTTGGTCGCTTTGAGTACATTCTCTGCCCTTGTAAAGTCTTTGATGCACTATAATTTATCATGTATCTATGAATTTGAGATGGCTATAAAGAGTTGACTTCCCCACAAATTCAAGTCATCACGTAATTATCAGTAGCTTCAGTGGTTATAATTTTGTTTTCTTCTCCTTAATTTTGGAATTTTAAGACATTCATAGTTGAGGAGATACGACTCAATTTAGACTTTTTAGATTTTTACATTTTCCCTCAGTAGCTTCAATGGTTATTCAGCTTCCCACTAAACTGGGGCTTAATCAGCAATGGACACCTATAATACATCTATTAATTGATTTAGTAAAATTAAACATTAAATTTTCTAAAGAATCTCTACAATTTAAATTTTATCAAAAATAAAATAATCATTCGATGATAAATATTTATATAATTAAATCCAAATTAAATGATTAATAGATGGAGTATCATATTATATCATTTACATATATATGCCCCAAAGAAAATCTTTTAACGTTGGAGTAGGGAAATTGAAAGGGCATCATAATTCGTAATAATTACACAAGTAAGCTGAAGATTGCAGGAAGCTTTTAGAGATGGTGATACAAGATGGAACTTATTATTGGCAATTGAGCATTGGCTCCTCTAATTTGAAAGTGATGCTGCAACATGCAACCTGCAATCACGGTCTGCCATGTCCTTATCACACCATCAGCAGCAGCAGAACCAAATTTCCCAGCTTTAATTTATAATTTCCTTCTTTCCACTAATGATATATAGTAAGCTATGAACATGTGAAATTAATACATGAATTTGTTATATTATTGCTCGGTAGCCAACTTTATCACCTAGTTTATTGCTCTCACTGTTGTTTCAACTTCTCACTTAGTTTATTGCTCTCGCTGTTGTTTCAACTTTATTCATGTATTCCGTCCGGTGGATTTCAAATTTCCCATTCCCTCATCTTCTGGAGTTTTCACTTTCATTGAAAATTTTCAACATGCTTTAAAATTTATTAGTTGCACTTGTATAGTCAGTTAAACCCTAATAATCGATATTGTGTGTTTAGATTATCTATACTCAATTTAACTAAGAGATTTTATCTTAGCTCCTATATTTCATTAAAGATATTGTCAAAGTTTCAAATGATTCATACTATTCAACTATTCGTACAGAAAATTATTAAGAGATCACACAATATATAAATAGCCATGAGAAACCAACCCCAAGACATAAGATATTTTCGAATAATATAATATCACTCGATCATGTAAAACATTTTAGGACACAAATAATAAAAATTATTAAGGTTCAATTAATTGTCTTATGAACAACACTTCTAGAACATTTTACGAATAATCAATAGGTCGCACAACCATTTTAAGTCATGATCCCTTCTCCAAAATGGTGCAAACTACATCATTATTCATTAACTTACTCATATAATTGAGAGTATTCAATTGAGTATTATCTCATTAATATATACACAGTGAGCTTATATCTTTGCATCTAATATTCAATTGAGTGGTGGAAACACACTGGAATAATAATACTAATAATAATAATAATAATAATAATAATAATAATAATAATAATATTTGTTGCTCAATTCATATTAAACCACCTTATGTATTTTTTATTCAAGATTTGGGTTAGTCAATCATGGCATTCTTTGTGGGTTCCTTTAAGATTTTTAAAATGAATCTGGAGTTGTCCAGAAGAGAAGAGAAAGAGAGATTAGATTGGAGGGGTGGGACACCTTTTGATCCCCAATCAGAGCAAGGAGGGGATAAAATGAATTGAAACCAGCTGAATTCAATCAATCAACCCACCCACTTTGCCAACATTACCCATGTTCCCTACATAATGCTTTATTTTATTCCACATGTTAAGCATCCTCAAAATGCTTCATGACAACTAATATAAAATAAAACCTCATTTATATTCTACCATGATTATTTTATTCATACAAGTGGCCTTAAAACTTTAAGAGTTTTCCGTAAGATATCTAAAGGTTCATTAGAAAATAATTTCGTCAGTTTTTCTACTTAGTTACAGTCTCTCCATATAATTGCTATTAGTCTCACCATGGACTAAATCTATTATCTTACGGTGGATCTACCCATCTATCAATAAATTAATAATCATAACCCTATGACTAACATTAGCCACCGTATCATCTAGTATAATCAACCTTAGTACTAACATTAGACATCCTATTGTTTAATGTCAAGAACATATATACTCGCACAAACAAAAACGAAAGAAAAGAAGAAAAAAAACTTAAACCGTTATATTTATGGATAAAGTACACAAATGATCTTCGACTATAAAACATTGCTTTATTAAGTCTATCGACTATTAAAAGTTATAAAATGTTCACCTGACTGTTCATTATGCTCCAAACTCGTTCTTTTTCGTTAAAAATTGACAGTATTTTGAGTTGAACGTTAACATGTTGACTATGATATAATAAAATATGATCCCAAAATCTTAAACAACTAATATATCTCAGTTATCATGTTAACGTCTAGCTTAGACTTTCTTTATTTTTTAACGAAAAATGATGAGTTTGGAACATAATGAATATTCAAGTGATCATTTTGTAACTTTTAATAATCGATTGACTTAATAAAGTAATACTATATAGTCGAGCATTATTTGTGTACTTCACTTTATATATGAATAAGGAATAAACAAAATTATGACAGATTATATATCATAATAATATAAATATTATACAAAATACAAGAATCAACGAAAGCATGCCTACTTTAAATTCTTCTCCTAATGAGAAAAGAAATTAATTTGAACAGAATTTGGGACAGCATGAGAGAGATCTATTGGTGGACTTGGTTCCTCCAACGAGAGACGAAGCTATGGAGACATTGAAAGAACAAGACAATCTAGTACAGTTTCTAAAATTGTCCCTAAAGCTAACAAAAGTGGGTCCAAAACAATAACAACTGTCCAACACAAATGCTTTTTTTTTCCCTCACAATAATAAAATAGGTTGATGAGTTGAATCCTTGAAAAACATATGCTTTTGGAATAAAATAATGGCTTTGCCTGCTCTAAGAAGATATGCCCAGATCTCATTTACGACCCCTATAGTATATATGCTTATATCATTGCCCACTTCTTTATATTCCTTTGTTTAGCAACTAATCTCTCTTATTATAATTTAATCCCATTCTTAATAATATGATCAATTTTAAAACATTGCCCCCACTTCCCTTATTTTTTTCTTTTAAATATAAAAAATAAATGTAAATATATCATAATTCATGTATTATTTTAAAATTTAAATTATATCATACCATTAATTTTTATTTAAAATTTTAAAAAAAAAGTAGAATATACAAAATTGTTATGCCTCCGAAAAATTTCAAAACCTGTAAACTCTTTGTCAGTCGAAACTTTTAGATAAACCCCTCCGCTTATTGAAACCTTCAAGAGTTCAAACCTTTTGGGTATAATAGTAACATATCCTTTGAGCCAACTACATTATATACACAAGATAATATATCTTACAGACTTACGTGATTTACAAGAGTATAAGTCGTGACTGTTGAATTTAATTTAATCTAGTGACTTATAATAGTCATAATGATTATATGTCGATAGGTATATTTTCTTCTCTTTCTTTCTCATCTCTCTAATCGTTATTATTTGTTTTCTTCCCGCATTATTTTTTCTTTTATTCCTCACACACACAAAATAACTGATTAACCGTCATCTTTACATCGATTACGATTCTTCTTCAAAATTATATAAAAAATCACCAACAACTATTGATATTATCACTTATTTCTATCAACAAAACTAAATTTTAATATCTAAAATTATACTTATAAATTTAATATATTTAAACAAATAAAATACCTTTGTTGGTGGAGAGAAGTGTACGCACAAGGAAGTTTCATCCTGGAAACTGCTATATATATATATATATTTAAATAATGTGATGGTTAAAATTGTCAAATCAGTCCAACAAATCATGATTGATTAAAAATAGAAGTGGAGCTATTTTTCATGATAAGCTTGGAGATCAGGTGGAGCATCATTAATTAATTACTTGATCAATCCACTGGCAGGTTAGTTTGTTTAATTAAATAAAATATTTGCCTATTATGGGGTTTAGGGTTTAATTAAATTACTTGATCAATCCACTGGCAGGTTAGTTTGTTTAATGAAATAATACATTAAATAAAAAACATTTGGATATTATGGGATTTAAGACACAGTAAGGATTTGGGATATCTTGCAAAGTTGCAACTCATGAAGATTACGTCCCCTTCTTTCTTTGACTTTTTGAATTTCAGAGATTAGTATAATAATAATTTTGAGAATGGAATTTTTTTATATTGTTTAAGAGCTACCCTAATTGATTTACAGACCATATGATTCATCGTTTGAAATAATAAAAAGGGTAAACTACCTATTTGGTCACTCACCTATTACTTAATTTCAGTTTTGTTCATCTAACTATTATTTTTTCAAAATCACACTTAATTTTACGTTTTGGTTCTGTTTTGACCGCCCATTGTTAAAAAAATTAATGATTATGTTGACTTGACATTTTTTAACTTTTCAATGCTGACATAGAAGCACCGTATGATGAAACATCATCATTACAATTAATTTTTAACGATGGGTAATCAAAATAGAATCAAACTATAATTTTTTTTTAAATAATAGTTTGGTGACCAAAATAAAATCAGGTGATAGGTGGATGACCAAATAGATAGTTTACCCCGAAAAAAAAACAATGAAACCTCTTTGGTTGAGAAAGTTTGAAGTGTATCTACTACAAAATTGACAACTTTATTTTATTTTATTATTTAACCAATAGGAAAAGTTTTCAAAATTATTGAATTAGACGGCTGACTTTTCTTTCGATTTATTTTCATAATGACGCATGTTCGTGATTATTATAAAACTATTCATTGAATTCCTGGAAATCTTAGAGATTGGAGAATTACTATATAAAGGTGCACAAACCAAAACAATTCATAGTCATAGCATAGGCTCTTTTGATACACAAGAGAGATGGAGAATTATGCATGTGATGCCGAAAATGGTGAGAAAAAGCTTAGGTTATTCGGGTTCGAGTTCGATCCGAGTGCTAACAGCGGGTGCTCCGTGAAAGTTTGTGCCGAAGGAGACGAGAGCGTGAATTCGTCGAACACAACAGTTAAGGAGAAAAGCTCGGCGACAGTGGAGGCCGACGATAAGAAATTCGAGTGCCGGTATTGTTTCAAGGAATTCGCAAACTCGCAGGCACTTGGGGGTCATCAGAATGCGCACAAGAAAGAGAGGATGAAGAAGAAAAGGTTGCAGCTTCAAGCCAAGAGAGCCAGCCTCAACTGCTATCTTCAACCTTTTCAAAACAGTCTCGGTTTCGGCTCTCCGTGGCACTCTGGTACAGCTGCCGAAGAATGGCAAATAAGTTTCGGACAATCGGAGCATGATGTGTATGTTCATGACTCGAACCCATCGAAATGGCCAGCTCAAATGATCCCTTTCCAACAAGATTCATCCATGTTCACGTTAATACAAGCTGATCATCACAGATCTAGGGAAAACAGGCCTGTTTTCAAGCCTTCGTCGAAGCAAAACTGTAAATCGTTGGATCTTCAATTAGGCCTCAGCTTGCAGTCTACGATACAGAGTTCCTCTGGAAGTGGTATATAGCACCATACACATAGGGTACGGAGAAGGTACATAAACGGCGGCATGCGAGACCGAGGTGTAGCGCCCGTGTGAAATACGTATCCAAGACAAGCACGACGTGTATCCGGTACCGGTAGTTCTGGATAAGACATCAAAAAAAGAATATACGGTAAATATACGTTTGGAGACAATTGAAACATGTCTCGACAGGACTCAATATAGAACGAATGTTGCTTCTTTTCTGTATTTTTTCTCATATTTGATTGAATTTCGAAAAACAATAGATTTTAAGAAGAAATTAATTATATTTAATAAAAAAGTATTTATATTTACATTTTTATGAAAATATATTGTAAAAATATATTCTCATATCTTGCATGGATTGTATTTTTCATAATGCAACTCTATAACCAGTACCATTATTGGTAGAAGTTTGAGGTAGAACCCTAATACTCCAAAATCCTATTCTCCTATAAGCAAGTAGCTAGAGTTCTTTTTTTAATAAAAATTTATTTATTTACTTTATGAATATCGCCTAATAAAAAATATGCTAACTATTTGTTTATTTATTACTTGGAGTAATTGTCAATATACAACAACTAGCACATTGTTTTAGAAAGAAGAAAGGGTGAACAGTAAATTTTACCAGAGAATTAGACTGTTAATATTCTTTGGGGGTTTGGTTTTCTTTTAGCAGCCCTAGTTAATTTCAAATGGCTGGTACCAGTTGTCAATAGATTCCACAACAGTCTATCTTCAGTTATAAGCTGGTCTTTGCTAATCAGGAATGACTAAGCCTTTAGCTGATCAAGCAAGTTCTTATTTAGGGTTTATGCAATTAGAGATTTTTTTTCAATTATGAAAAGACTTGTCTCCCATTTCATACAAAAATAAGTCAGATTTTTATTTTTCTTTATAGAGTTTCATATTTATCTATTTATTTTAATGTATTTAATGTTTTATTTCTGAAAATTAAACTTAATTTGATTGCAACATTTTGTGCTTTTGTTACGACTTTATTCAAATTTTCAAAACATGATTTTTTTTTATTAATTTGGGATGATTATAATTTATAAGGTAGTATATGTTTAAAAGTTTTCAATCATTTGACAATGAACCCTTATATACTCTTGTGTATGTGATGTTCGAATCTAAGACCTTAATAGATAACAACAATTCTTTAATCATTAAAGTCGTTTAAGTCATGTTAAAACATGCTTGTTAATAATACAAGATAAATCATTAGTTAGTAATGCTTTTATTATTGTGTGATCTATTGATAGTATTTGTAAACATAGTTAAGTTTCGTTTGATAAGAATATTATTTTTCATTATATTTCAATATACGAGTTAAATTAAATTAATTTTATTTTGTAATTTTAAGATTTTCGTATGGTTTGTAAACTTATTAAAGAGATCTTATTGCTTACTTGAGTTTTGCATGTGCTTTTAGTTTTAAGTTTAAAATTATATTAATTATTGTATATTTTATAATAAAATATTTTAATAGTTACTAAACTCAGAGAGTCGATTCTATTTTGACCACCGAATTAAAAATATTATCAATTAGCTCATTCAACTTATTAAAATGCTATAATCAAGCCACTAATTGTTAATATTTAGTAGAATTATTGACTTGAAGTTAAAAGAGATTATAATTACAAATCTAGTATTTATTACTTATATATTCTATCAATTTAGACTAAATGGTGACACATATAATTATGACCAAATTGATAGAATGTGTAAATGATGAAGACTAAATATTTAATTATTTAATTTTTCATTGCCACATCAATAATTCTATTATTTGTTAACAACTGATTATTTGATTGATAACATTTTAATAGTTGAGTGACCTAATTAATTCCTTTTATTTCGATAATTAAAATAAAATCAACCATATACCTTAAAGACTGCTTGAGTTATGTAACCCCCTAGACTTGGCCCGGACGTCACGATCGAATCTCAAAGACCACAACAATAATTCAATTTAACAGAAATCATGAAACTTTCAAATTAAAACGTGCATCATCGGAAAATCAATATAAATTCATAAACAAAAATTAGAGTTCATAATACATACTATAATACGAGTTTAAAGTCCAAAATAAATAAAATAATTTAGGTTTAACTACACTGATGATCACTTTTGTTTGTATTTTGTCCACTTTTTGTCATTGATTTCAAAAAACATAAGATATAGTCACTTTCATTTTTATTTAATTAAGATATGATCACTTTCATTTTTATTTAATTAAGATGTAGTCATCATAGGTTAACTGATGTTAACAATTAACATAATATGTGATGTGATAGTATAATTACATATTTGTTCCATGTTATTTACACATTCTCTCAATTTAATCATACTTTTAAATAAATTTTAACATAAAATATTTTTAAATGAAAATAAAAATAAAAGATTTTAAAATTAAGTTAATAATAAAATATATTCAATAAGTCAATATATATTTTTTTAATTTAATATATATATAAAATATTATGAATTTAAGTATTTATACACTTAGATACAAAATATATACACCATGTTGTCTACTTTAGACCAAGAAATGGCCTTGGCATGACATGTGGTATCATTCGATTGGAAGATTAAATTCATTTTAATTTATTAAAAGCAGAACTAAATTGAGATAATATGTAAATAACTAGAACCAAATGTGTGATTATATCAAAATAGTTAACTGCTGTTAATGGTAATTAACTTGGGGTGATCACATCTTAATTAAATAAAAATGAAAGTGATTATTTCTTATGTTTTTCGAAATCAATGACCAAAGTGGAAAAAACACAAACATACACCATAGAACTGATCAAACAAATCATCAATGAGCGATAACGAGTATTTGTTCTTAATCGTTAACTTATTCAGCTTCCAATAATCAATACACAAGCGCAATGTACCATCTTTTTTCTTAACAAAAAGTATGGGAACTCCCTACGAAGAGGTATTAGGTTGAATAAAACCTCGATCCAACAACTCATACAATTAGACCTTGAGCTCCCTCAATTCATTAGGTGTCATGCAATAAGGTTCTATGGACACCAATACAATACCCATATATAGTTCAATCTCGAACTCTACTTCCCTCTCAGATAGTACATCAGATAATTCTTTCAGGAAAACATCCAGAAAGTCTATTACAGTACAAATTCGTTCAATTCCATAAGTACACTTTTTTAAATCCATAATATAAGCAAGATATGCTAGGACACCCTTCCAAATCATTTTCTCAGCTACCAAGGTTGATATCACATTAGACAGATAACCTCGTAACTAACCCATCAGAACAACCTCCCTATCATCATAAGTCTTCCAAATCGTTCTCTTACATTTTTAGTTCAAGATAACTCGATGTTCCTTCAAGTAATTGATAATAAGAAATAAGATTGAACTCATTCAACGAAAATTCCATAAGATTTGTCAGAAAGGTCTCTCTACATAGCTCGAGAGGATAATTTTGATAGATTTTGTAACCATTATAGATTGACAGACATGAGACTGAACAGTAACAAGACAAGTAGTGGGCTCAATCGGATGTCAAAATTATGGGTTATGAAACTCGCAACGTACGAATGGGTAGACCCGTCATCAATCAAAGCAAAAATAATAAACGTAATTAATGATAAAAGAACTTGCAATAACATTTGGCTCATCATGATCCTCACAATGTCTCTTAGCATAAACAAGAGCAGGTTATCTGGTCTCTAACCTTATAGAACATCTACCCTGAGTAGATCGTCCCCTACTCAAAGAACTCGTTGTATGACCAGATGAGGCATGTTGATTTTAATTATGACTCTATGGTGTCTGAAATGATCCTTGAGAATGAGCAAGAGTCTGATATGTCGGAGTAAGTTGTGGGCAATCTCTTAAAATATGCTCGATGTAACCACACCTAAAACACACTCTCAATTTTTTGCTACACTTACCATCATGTTACCTACTATGGTAATTACAATTAGGAACAACTCACTATGCATAAGAAACACCCCTACTTTTAGACTGATTAGAAGAAGTAACATGTCTAGACCCAAATCAAATCCCAAAGTGTCATCCTTCAAATGCTTCTTAAGACAAGCAGAGACCATCAGAACTTGATTGATTCCTTTTATAGTTTCGTTATTCCCTACTAAGATCTTATATATCATTGGCACTCTTAGCTCAATCCTGAGCTTAACGAAGTCCCTCCCATGATGGGTAACTATCCTGCTACAGATCCCAACACGTAGACCTTTCTCAAATAGTAAACTCTTTTCTTCCTCGGTAGTGATAAGTCTAGTAGCATACTTAATGAGACATAAAAACTCAAGCTCATAATCCTGAACTAACATATCACCTATTTGGATCCATTTTCATGTTTTTACCATATTTGGCCATATAATGGCTACCAACAAATTGACTATGAAAAACTCATAAGTCCATTGATCCCTTGAAGTAATCATCTTCACTAAATTCCACCAACTCAGGGTAACATCCTTCAGTAGAAAAACAATAGCCTGAAGTCTCCAATCAACCGAATAATCTATCTTATCTAGAAGATGCTCAGTATCCTTAATCTAATATTCCCCAATAGACGAGGATAATCAAGTAAGCGCTCTAAAGTACTCTACCCTGTCACGCAACATAGTTAACAAAACAATAACGGTAGTATCCTCTGGCTGAACCCCAACAGATCTCTGAAGTAAACGCAATACAACTCGACCAACAACAACATTCTCTAAATCATTAATAAATCTGCCTCTAATGGCAAACGTGTGCTCAATATTGTTATTCGGATAAGAAAAATGAAACGCTCGAGTATGTCTCTAAGACGAATAGACATCATGAACTGGAGGATCTTTATCAGTATTAGTTATTCGACCTCCACGACCCTTAACGCTACCATATCTACTAGGCAATACAAAAGGATATCGACCTCTACAGGGTGAAATACCATCTGCTGAATCTGAAATAAAAGAGTACACATAAGCTAAATTCAGATCCAGTACTAGAGTCTCAAAACAAAAATATTCATATTTGAAAACAGAAAAGATTAAAAATCATTTAACAGAATTTACAGTCAAAACGGATTTTAGAAAATATTTCTCATACCCAAAACTTTTCGATGCATGCAAAAATTATTTTATAGAGCCATATAAAATTTGACAGGTAACATAATCCAATAGTTAAACCTAAGCTTTGATACCACTAAA